ACGCGCCTTGTTTCTCCAATATTTTTGAAATAATCTTCAATATTTTCAACTTTCGTCAGATGATTAGTTTTATCAATTTTTAATTTTCAACACATCCTCCTGGCTTTTCCTCCTACAAAATACAAAACATTTTGTTAACATGATTAAAATTTTCAAAGCAACACATCAAAATACATTCAGTTATTGAAATCTGTCGTTAAAAAGAAAAAATTTAATCTTTAAATAATAAAGAACCTAATAAAGAAAAGTAAGAAGGAAATTAAAACAAACCTTGTGATTTCAGAATTTTGTTGCACATGTATCTTTGTACGTTAAAAAAACCCCGAGTTTCTTTTCTTCAAGGTAGACAAATCTCTAAACAGATCTATTAAAAAGAAAGAAGTAAAATAGTTTAATAATCATCTTAAATTCAGCAAAGTCAACAAATGAAAATTATTGCGTTATACAAGTATAACGTACGTAATGACTTTTATGTACAATTACCTTTTTTATTTCTCAATACAGTTCATTCACATCCTCAACCAGCAACTGCTATGAGCATCTGTAAACATAAAAACAATGTATTAAGTTTTAATACAGAATGTAACATACAAGTTAACAGCTGTCAAATAAAATCAATAATGCGTTGTTAGAGATTCCTTCGGGATCTTAAATTTTAGGAATACATCTCGTCAAAGTATATAAGTAATATACTTTTACACAAGTATAATTTCAGTTATACCACATGAAATATTCTTTACCCTTCCAATAATTAAAATTGTGTTAGTAGAAATGCATGCTACGTAATACATATTTTCATAATAATATTGTATATAATGCAACGATAATAATTAGTTCTAATTCAGCCTGTATTTTGAAATTGTTTTGAAAAAGTATATTAAAAGTATGATACCATTTTATATATACGCAGCTTTTTGATGCACCGTTTTAGCTACTTTTATTCGTTTCAAAAACATACTTTCAAACAAACAAATTAAAATCAATCGCTCAAATATTTAAAGATAGTATAAATTCTATAGCTGTTGCGTATATTTTTAGTTTACCAACTTTCAGATTTTAAGACTTCAAATTGTTAAGATATCCAAGTATTTTGAGATAACATTCAATAGCATTGAAATGCGTGATGTACAGTATTTATTCGATAAAATGGCCTGTGTGTATATTTGGCCCTCGAGAAATGAGATAAATAGTCGATACGAGAAGTTTCAAGTCGGTCAAATAGTAATTAGGTATATCAGCCTAGATTTCAATAACGAACCCAGACAACCTTCGCTAAAGTTGGTATACAAATACATTTTGGTTGTCAAAGGTAAAAATAACGTCTAGGCTGGTAAATTTGCTCACAATTAGAAGGTTCCTAGAGAATTATGTAACGATACAATTAGATTTTCAGAAGCGTTATCACAGAGTTGTAGATAAAGTCACTGACGTACGTTGGACATATAATAATAAAGCAAATCCTTCATTTTGTATTTAATAATAATTACCTATTTGTTTGCTAAAACTTCAAAAAGTCTCATAATGTTACAAGTTCAACTTTGCTGGTAAAGATTACAAAAATCATTAAGAATCATTCGTTGAAAACTAAACAAGTCCCATGATAAATCTGGGAATGGAATATAATCAATGTCAAGTAAATGAAATGATTGAATACATGCAACATTTGTCAAGTATCTCACTGAATATTTTTTCTAATAAAAGTATCTTACTGCAATGACCAGT